TTGAATGCATGCACGATCGCGAGCATTTCGCGGTCGTGTATCGGGTAATTTCGCTCATGTGGATGTAGCTTGCGTGATTCGTAGGCGATGGGTTGGAGGCCGTTGCCGAAGTCCTGTAACAGTACGGCTCCGATGGCGATGTCACTCGCGTCTGTAACAACTTCGAAGGGGCGGTGTGGGTCAGCGATGCGTAGGACGGGTGGTGAACAGAGAACATTTTTCAGAGCAGAGAAGGCAGCATGCTCTTTCTCCCCCCACGTAAAAGGGACCCCCTTACGCAGTAAATCAGTGAGCGGGGCTGTTAAGCGTGCCATGTCGGGGACGAACCGACGAACGTAATTAACAAACCCTAAAAAACTCTGTAGTTCCGTGATGTTCGTCGGGGGATGCCACGCTTTTACGGTATCCAGCTTCTTAGGGTCTATCTCAACCCCAGCCTCCGAAATGACGTGACCTAAAAACTCTAGCCTGTCCCGAAAATACTCGCACTTGGAGCCCTTGGTGAGTAACCGATGTGCCTCTAAAATTTTTAAAACTGCTTCGAGATCTACTAAGTGCTGCTGCTGGTCTCGACTGTAAACGAGGATGTCGTCGAGGTAAACTATGACGCATTTATCTAAAAGTGGCCTAAACGCCTCGTTCATGGTCATCTGAAATGTTGCAGGCGCGTTGGTCAGCCCGAAAGGCATCACCGTGTACTCGAATGACCCGTAACTAGTCCTAAATGTTGTCTTGGCGCAGTCCGATGGTTCGACCCGAATTTGATGGTAACCTCTCCGTAAGTCTATTTTCGAAAATACTCGTGCGGTTCGCAGCTGGTCGATCAGTTCGTCGGCGCGGGGGATGGGGTATCGTGATTTTACTGTTACTCTGTTAAGCGCTCGGTAGTCGATGCACATGCGAAACCCCCCGTCTTTTTTCGGTGTGAACAGTATCGGTGCGGCGAACGGTGACGAGCTCGGTCGGATAAACTGCTTCTCTAGCAGGTAATCTAACTGCTTCCTTAGCTCGTCGAGCTCGGGCTGTGTCAGTCGAAATTGGCGCTGTACAGTTGGCTATGCCCCCGGTTCTAACTCGATCCTATGGTCATGCGCCCGCTGAGGTGGCAGCCCTTGCGGTAAGTCATCCGGAAAGATACCCGGGAACCGTTTCAGTAGTGCCTGTAGTTCGGGTGGTACGGCTGCCAACAGTTTCTGCAAATCACTCGGCCGGTCCTCTTTTTCCACTAATGCGATATCCACTGCGTACACGTCAGCTCCAGCAGCGACAGCCCGTTTCATCGTGATGGCGTTGACCTGGACCGTCGAAGACTCGGGTGGCTGCCAGCGAGGTAGGACGACCCAGTTACCACTACTTCGCACTGTGCAGCTACCCGTCGTCCAGTCAATTCGTGGGTTATACCGTCGCAGCCAATCACGTCCCAATAAAATGTCGTGCCCATCCAGTGTCGTTGCGAGCATTTCCTGTGTAAACCCGAAGTTCCCTCCGCAGCGGACCTTTACCCTCTCCACCTTTTCCCGTATAGCTAGTGGCGTGCCGTCGACTAAGCGTGCATCTATCTCAGGTAAGCATCGGTTAAGTGTTAACTGTAATTTCCGTGCGGTTGCGGTATTAACTAAGCTGTGACTTGCTCCTCCGTCAATAAAAATCTTCACTGCTGCTCCCTGTATTTTCCCGTAGATTAGTACCACGCAATCCGTCGCTGTACCCTCCTTATTCATCCGAGCCCGATCGATGGCATGAATCGGTACTGTGACTCGGTGAGGATCGGTGTGGTTGGGCGAGCAGGCAGTCTCGTCAGTAGTTGGCCCAACTTCTACTGACTGCTGGCGTTTCCCTGCCTCTGAGACTCCCTCCCCTGCTATGCTCCTCGGCGCCTCAGCTCCTCTGGGCATTCGCTCTTGCGATGGCCCGGCCTGTTGCAAGCAAAGCAGCGCCCCTTAAACGGTGCGGCAGCTGCATTCGTTGCGACGGCGTGTACAGTGGCGTGCTCGGTCGGTCCCCGAGGACGATGTCCGTAATAGGACCCCGGTCTCGGTCGGCGTAGAATGTCGATCTTCTCGGCGAGCGCGAGAATCTCGTTGAAGTTAGAGAGTCCGCGCAGCATTATCTCGTGCGAGATGTCCGGCTTCAGCCCTCCGACGTAACGGTCCACCCGCTCCGCTTCGTGCATGTAGCCGACCTGCTCGCAAAGTGCGAGAAAACCGCTGGTATAGTCTTGAACTGACCGGAGCTGGCGCCAAGTGCGCAGTTTCTGACGCGCCGAAATTGAAGCCGCGATCGGCTCAAAACGCGCCCGAAGTCCTGCGCACCACGCATCCCACGTGCTGTATTGGGCGGTCTCGCAGAACGAACTCCAGGTGACAGCTGGACCCGAGGGCCCTTCCTCGTGCGACGGTGGCTCGTAGGCGCGTGGCGACGTCACGATGACTCGCCACTAGTCCATGGCGGGGCCTCTTAGCAGTGAAACCGCATACCGGATCTTTGCGGCGTCCGACTCGACGTAATTGGCGTCGAAGAAAACGTTCATCGTGAAGACCCACGATTGAACTGTCGGACCGCCGCGTTGACTTGGGTCGAAGCAGGGCGGGCGTTGCGGCTTGAGCGGCATTGGTGCCATGTTGGATTGTTCGCCACTTGTCGCCGCAAATTCCACGTGCCGACGGACTTCTCGAGGCTCCCGTGGGCTTGGTGCGATCCTGTTTCCTCCCATGCCAGGCATCGGCTGGGCGGCGCCCTCACTGGCTGCGCCTGAGCGTTGTCCCGTGCTGTCGTGTTGTGTTGGTGTGCCGGACGAGATGATGATCGGCTCATCCGAACGTGCAGATGCTTTTGTTGGTGCGTGGGATGTCGTCGGTACATTCATCGTGGATTGTTGACGGGCGGAGTCACGTTCCGCCGTGAGGGTCGCGATTTCAAGCGCCGAATCCTCCAGTTGACGCACGAGACGATCAAGTTGCTCCTGCGTCAATGTGGCGAGCGTGAAATCGGCCATGGCGGGGGTGTCGGGCAAGCTCAGCGAGAGCCTCGGTCGTGGCCGTGCGTGCTTGCGAGAGAGCACTACGAGCGGCGGTGCTGTATCGCTGAGAGACGTCTACCCCCCCCAAAAATTGAGATAGTGGGGAAGTGAAGGTGTGGATGCGGTCCGAGATGGGATCGTAGGCTCTGAATACCAAGTGTTACGAGTGCAATTGAGTGAACGAGCGAGAATTGCACTATCGAAGCAAGAGTACAATGAGCGAAGGTATGAGCGAAGAATATATAGCGAAACTACAGTGGTAACGGTAATGGTGGCGCGACGAGCCTGGGACTGAGGTTGGGAATGTGTCGAAGCGTAGGCCCGGAGCGCGGGTTACCAGCCGAGCCGTGAGGTCGGGATGCGATGTGCGAAAATGGCGGGATGATGAATGATGCGATGGTTGTGAGTGGTAACGGTGCTGACTGAGGTGCTACAGTGATGTACGCGTTGAGCAGAGATGCGAAGTAAGGAAAAGGGAATTTCCTTACACAAACTAAGGTGGTGGCATAGTTCAGTGAATTGAAGTGAAGTTCCAACTTTTCAGCAGGTGTGAACCAATTATGAAGCACTTATACCGTAAGTGGAAATACAATGCGTTGAGCACTTACCGGTATTTCCGTCTGCTTTTGCAGCAAGCTTTCTGTCCTTGATTCTGGTCCAGTCTGACTGCTATCGGGGTTTACGAGGGCATTGGTCTGACGCACCGCGCTCCAACGGTGACTACATGCGGCCAATCACTATGCGAAATCGAGTCGCCAGCAGCCGCTCGATGCGCGAAATTTTCGAGTTCCCACTTCTTTCGCGCCAAAAACGATGAGCAGTCTGCAATTCTGTGCACCTCCGTGAAGTCAATGCTTGTCGCGAGGGACAAGTCGCTGATCAACCATACTTACAGTTCGGTTAAAAGGGTTTCTTCAATTTTCGACACGGTACTCAAGTGCTACCGTTGTGGATCGCAACCAACCGAGTATTTTACTCTGATACACGAACTGCAAGTCATGATCACCGCTACTTCCCAAACTGGGTTAGCGCGCATGCCATTCCCAGCACCACCCACCCACCATCGCGTGCCAGAGGCCTTCGAAACGAAACCTCGCCGAATCTTATGGCTCCACTTATTTGAGCGCCGCATTCGGGCTGGGCTCTAGACTCGTCTGCTAGGACTTGCGCGTCACACACGCCGCCACTGTTGCTCTCCTCTGCTCTACCCTTCTCTGTCAGTCCACACGTCAGCGGTCACCCGGACACGCCACTACTGCAAGCAAAGCATTATGTTTCTCACCACCTTGGCAGGTTGGCTCGCTTAGCTTGACCCTCCATTGCTGTATCGCCTGTACTCTGAATAGGAGCGCCGCTGGGTAGCGCTGTAGCTGCTCTGAGACGTGTTGGTGAAAGCGAATGTTCGTACACACCTAGTTATCTAGTAAATAAACAAATCCGATTCGGAAGTCACTACTGAAGGCACAGACGGTAACCTGGCATACCAAGTTCGGTTGCGGTGTGTTCGCGCGCACCCTATTCACGCGAAGAGGCGTCTCGATCTTGAAACAACGTCCGTTTTTCACGTGAGAGAAAGATATAGAGATTCTAGACTACGAAAGATAGTTTTCGAGAATTTAGAATTGCAAGAGACACCTCGTCTTCAGTTCTCTACTCGGTCATGTCGTCGCTACCGCCACGTCGGCGAGATCTAGAATGTCTCGCACACTACTCGTGGTCAATACGCATTCTGAGATCTTAGGAAATTTCAGCAGCTGTCCGATACTAGTACACGCAGTCGATGCAAATTCTTAGATTTAGCAAGTCTTCCGCAAGTATCGCACACTAGCACTCGTGGTGGATATTAACCAGCACGTATCTCTCAACGCCGCCTTTGATAGCACGACTTTAGCGCGCCTGTAGCGCCGTGCGCCTCGAAGGCGTTGGCAACACCGGCTGTAGCACCGAAAATTCCTCACATAACTCCATCGATTTGTCTCTAATGGCCTCGAGAACTTCGCGTTCGAGCGGCGCTGGCGCCTTGAGAACCGCATCCCGAGCTCGCCCTCCCTTCCGTATCGTGTCACCTTATGGCCGATGTATTCCATTCCACGCCGCCGTTCTAATCGCTGCGATTACTGTCGCCGCGAGTATAAGGTTCGCGGCTGCGCTGACGTCCGCGAAAGATGGTGAGTGTGCTCACTCGCCCAGTCGACTGCTGTTGGTTGCGCGTGGTGCTCGTGTTCGCACGCCCAAGGACACCTGGTGGTGGCGCTTGCAAATGTTTGCTGGTGGTTGCCCGTCCCGTTCCCATGATTCGCCCTTGCTCCTCCCTCCCCCTCTCACCTTCTCCCCCTCTCCCTCTACCCTCCACCATTCTCCCTCTCTCTCCTCCTCCCGCTCACCCGCCAGTCGATGCTTTGGGGGACATCTACAACGGCTTCAATCGCTCCTTCCCTCTCTCCCTCTCTCCCTCTCTCCCTCTCTCCTTCTCTCCCTCTCTCCCTCTCTCCCTCTCAACCTCTCTCCTTCTCTCCCTCTCTCCTTCCCAACCTATTTCTCTCACCCTCCCGCCCTCCCGCCCTCCCGCCAGTTGATGCTTTGGGGGACATCTACAGCGGCTTCAATCGTTCTGTGACGCTGCAGACGTGGACGTGGGGTGTTAATTGCAGTGACTGTCGAGCCTTCAGAATAATAACCTCCCCTCCCTTCTCCTTCTCTCCCCTCTCTCCCAAATCCCCTCTCTCATACGTCCACCCAACAGTTGATGCTTTGGGGGACATCTACAGCGGCTTCAATCGTTCTGCGACGCTGCAGACGTGGACGTGGGGCGATCCGTGCGGCAGCGACGGCAGTGAGAACGCGGGCAGTCCGTGGCACGGCATCACGTGCGACGTGTCGGCCGACCCGCAACGAGTGATCGAAATGTACGTCTCTCTGGCTGCTAATGCTGCCGCCGCTGCTGCTGCTGCTGCTGCTGCTGCTGCCTCAGCCGCCGCTGCTCGGCTTAACACGGATAGGAGCGGGTAGCGTGAGAGAATGGTTGGAAGCGAGCAAGAATGGAGAAACAAATCAGTCAAATGGTTCACCTTCTCACCGCCCTCGTTCCCATCGCTCCCTGCCTTCCATTCGCCTCCCGTCCCTCCTTCGCAGCAACCTATCTGACTCGGACATCAGTGGGTACATCTCCGGGTCCGTCAGCGCGCTTAGCAACCTGCGATCCTTGTAAGTCACTCTGCATCCCATCCATTGCCATGCCCATGCCATCCGGTGCCATGCCCGCATGACTCCGACATCAGCGGGTACATCTCGGGGTCTGTCAGCTCACTCAGCAAACTGCGATCCTTGTAAGATGCCCTCCATGCCCTGAGGTGCCATGCCATGCCATGCCACGCCATGCCATGCTACGCCATGCCATGCCATGCCATGCCACGCCATGCCATGCTACGCCATGCCATGCCATGCCATGCCATGCCATGCCACCTCATGTCACACCATGTCGTGCATTGCCTTACAGCCCGGACTCCAGTCCCCTCGCCGCCCTCCCCTCCCCCCTCCCCGATCCACTCTGCTACTGACCCCTACCTGCCCTCTCTCCTCCCTCCCTTCCCCCTCTCTCCCTTTCCTTACCTTCTCCCGCCCCCCTCCAATCCACCGTCCCTTCGTCCCTTCCTTCCCCCGCCCCGCTTGTGTCCCCTCCCGCGCATCCCCCCGCGCAGCGTGGTACGCAGCAACGCCATCAAGGGCGGCATCCCCGCCGACCTCTCCGCGCTCACAGGGCTGCGCACCCTGTAAGCCAGTGCTATGCCCCCCCCCCATCGCACCCTGTAAGCCATTGCTCTCTGTAAGCCATTGCTATGCACCCCCCCGTTGCTCCCTATCGCTCCCACTGCTCCCCATTCCTCCCTCTCCACTGCACACATTGCTCCCCGTTGCTCCCCATTGCTCGCTCCATCACCCTTTCTTGTTCCCCCTCCCCATTTCCCCTCCCCCATTTTCCCTCCCTCCTTGCCCTCCCCTGATCCGCAGCGACCTGAGCAACAACCCGCTGGAAAACACCATTCCGCCGGAAATTGCGCGTCTCCCCGCGCTTTCCTCTCTGTATGCGCGCACTCCACCCACCCGCCCCCCTCTCTCCCCCTTTCTCCCGCCTTCGTCGCCTTTCTCATGCAAGACACTAGCACCAGTGGTCCCGCCCTTGCCTGTTCTCTTTTGCGATGCACCTCCCCACCTCCCTCCCTCCCTCCCTCCCTCCCTCCCTCCCTCTCTCCCTCCCTCCCTCCCTCTCTCCCTCCCTCCCTCCCTCTCTCCCTCCCTCCCTCCCTCCCTCCCTCCCTCCCTCCCTCCCTCCCTCCCTCCCTCCCTCCCTCCCTCCCTCTCTCCCTCCCCCCCTCTTCCCCCTAAACCATGCCTCTGCCCTCCCCACTTCACATTATCCCTGCGCTCCACATGATCTCCCCCCTCCCCATGCCCACCTTGCCCCACGTGGCAGCTACCTGTCGAGCTGCGAGCTGGAGGGCGACCTGCCGCGCCTGCTCAAGCCTGTCCCTCACCACTCCCTGCCCATCTTTCCCTCTCCCCCTCCCCCCCCTCCCCCCATGCCTCTCACCATGGCCCTCCCCGTGCCAGACACCTGTCGAGCTGCGAGCTGGAGGGCGACCCATCGCGCCTGCTGAACGCCCTTCACCACCACCACATATCCCCCCTCCCCCCATGCCCTCCCCTTGCCTCCCCCCTTCCCTCCCCTTTCTCTCATGTGCCAGAGACCTATCAAGCTGCGAGCTGGAGGGCGACCTGCCGCGCCTGATCAACGCCCCTCACCACCACATGCCCCCATCCCCCCCTCCCCCCATGCCCTCCCCTTGCCTCCCCCCTTCCCTCCCCTTTCTCTCGTGTGCCAGAGACCTATCGAGCTGCGAGCTGGAGTGCAACCTGCCGCGTTTTTTGAGACATCTCAAAAGTCCTTTCTCTCGTGTGCCAGAGTCTTGTCGAGCTGTGAGCTGGAGTGCGACCTGCCGCGCCTGATCAACGCCCCTCACCACCACATCCCCCCATCCCCCCCTCCCCCCATGCCCTCCCCTTGCCTCCCCCCTTCCCTCCCCTTTCTCTCATGTACCAGAGACCTATCAAGCTGCGAGCTGGAGGGCGACCTGCCGCGCCTGATCAAGCTCTCGTCGCTCGTCGCACTGTGAGCTGCTCTGCTTTGCTGTGCGGTGTGGCGCGGTGCTGTGCTGTGTTGTGCTGGGCTGTGCCCTGGTATGCCATGTGATGTCATGCCATGCACTCAGTGTAACTTGCCATGCCGTGCCACCCAAGGCACTGTGAGCTTCTGTGCATTTCCACGCGCCATGCCATGCCATGCCATGCCATGCCATGCCATGCCATGCCATGCCATGCCACGCCATGCCACGCCATGCCATGTCATTCCTCTGAGTTGTTCCCCCACATGCTGTGCATGTACGGGTGATCCCAGGGACCTGAGCAACAACTCCCTCACAGGCTACATCGACCCTGCCAGCACCCGCTTGCCCCACCTTTCCAACTTAAACTCACCCGTCCTCACCACCCTCCCCACCACCATGTGTGTGTGTGTGTGTGTGTGTGTGTGTGTGTGTGTGTGTGTGTGTGTGTGTGTGTGTGTGTGTGTGTGTGTGTGTGATCCCAGGGACCTGAGCAACAACTCCCTCACGGGCTACATCGACCCTGCCATTGCCCGCCTGCCTCACCTCTCCGACCTGTACTCACCCCTCCGCACCACGCACCACCCACCACCATTACTGCCTCCTCCCCACCACGCACCACCCACCCACCGACCCACCCACCCCTATCACCGCTACCATCCACACACTCACCAGTTCCTGCTAATTCCAGAAGCGAACTGAGCTCATCAACGGCTCTATTTTGACAGTCCACGTCCTCCTCTCCCGCATTGTGCTACTGCTGTGGACTTTCCCCATTGTGCCCCATGTGCTGGTGTTTCGCAGTACATTCACTCCTCTCCACGTGCCCCACCCATGCACAAACCCCTGGACGCCACGTGTACAGTGACATGTCGTACAACAACCTCACAGGAGCGCTTCCAGATGCTCTAGGCTCCGCGACCGCCCTCACCTCCTTGTAAGCACACCGCCCTCACCTCCTTGTAAGCACACCGCCCTCACCTCCTTGTATGCACACCGCCCTCACCTCCTTGTAAGCACCCCGCCCTCACCTCCTTGTAAGCACACCGCCCTCACCTCCTTGTAAGCACACCGCCCTCACCTCCTTGTAAGCACACCGCCCTCACCTCCTTGTATGCACACCGCTCCTCACCTCCTTGTAAGCACACCGCCCTCACTTCCTTGTAAGCACACCGCCCTCACCTCCTTGTAAGCACACCGCCCTCAACTCCTTGTACGCACACCGCCCTCACCTCCTTGTAAGCACACCGCCCTTCCTTCCAGTTAAGAACACTGCCATGCCTCCCTGTAAGCACACTGCCTCACTTCCTTGTTTGAAATCTGTCCTCTTGCCCCTCCCTTCCTTGTGTCATGTCCTTCCATCCTTCCGCCCTTCCGTCCTTCCGTCCCTGGCCTCTTCATCCTTGTGCTCCTCTTACCCGTCTGGCCCTCCCTTTCGGCATCCAAGCTCTCGGCATCGACCCCATCTTTCCCAACTCTCTCACATTTCCCCCATTCCCTCCCCCCCTTTTCCCCCCTCTCTCCCCCCATTCGCCTCCATCTGTTCCCATGCCCCCCGTTCGCCCCCATCTTCCCCACGCCTCCCCTGCAAATCAGTGCGGTGGCGTTCAACCAGCTGTCAGGCAACCTCCCCCCCGCCCTCGGCACCCTCCCTTCGCTCTCCTTTCTTGACATCCGAGGCAACGCCTTCTCAGGCTACCTCCCCCTCTCCTATTCCAATATTGAGCAATTCCTCTACGACGGCGCCCTTCCCCCCGCGCCCGCAGGCCCCTCCGCATCCCCTCCGCCGCCCCCCATCCCGCCCCCGCCTCCCCCTTCCGTCCCCCCGCCGTCCCCTGTGCTGCCTGGTTTCCCTGGGGGGGAGGATGGAGGGGCGGATGCCCCTGCTTCTCTCCCCTCCCCTCCCGCCCCTCCTCTCACTTCTCCCTCTCCTAGACCTCCTCCAACCGCCCCAGGTTCGCTTGCCCCGCCTGCGCCCCCCTCTCTTCCGCCTGTCCCCCCTGTAACCTTCCCCAACGGGACGCACGTTGGGAACGGGACGGGTGGGAGTGGAGGAAACGGGGGGAAACGGGGGGAAGGCGGAGGAGCGGGGGAAGAGGGGGATGGGTATTTCTACCTGGATCCGTCAGTTCCAGAGAATGAGACGCAAGCGCTGGTGCCGGTGCCGGTGGGGTGCAAGCCGTGTGCTGGGGGGAGTGTGGCGAGGAGGCATAAGAAGCTGTGTGTGTGCTCGTACCCGCTGCTGCTGGAGGTTCATCTGGGCATGGAGTTCTCTAGGTTCAATGACGTCACCAGAGAGGTGAGAAGATGGTACATGTGACGTCATCAAGGGGGCCTTGATTTTGCAGTGCTGGTGCCGGTGCCGCTGGGGTGGAATCCGTGTGCTGGGGGGAGCGTGGCGAGGAGGCGTAAGAGCTGTGTGTGTGCTCGTACCCGCTGCTGCTGGATGACGTCACCAGAGAGGTGAGAAGATGGTACATGTGACGTCATCAAGGGGGCCTTGATTTTGCAGTGCTGGTGCCGGTGCCGCTGGGGTGGAATCCGTGTGCTGGGGGGAGCGTGGCGAGGAGGCGTAAGAGCTGTGTGTGTGCTCGTACCCGCTGCTGCTGGATGACGTCACCAGAGAGGTGAGAAGATGGTACATGTGACGTCATCAAGGGGGCCTTGATTTTGCAGTGCTGGTGCCGGTGCCGCTGGGGTGGAATCCGTGTGCTGGGGGGAGCGTGGCGAGGAGGCGTAAGAGCTGTGTGTGTGCTCGTACCCGCTGCTGCTGGATGACGTCACCAGAGAGGTGAGAAGATGGTACATGTGACGTCATCAAGGGGGCCTTGATTTTGCAGTGCTGGTGCCGGTGCCGCTGGGGTGGAATCCGTGTGCTGGGGGGAGCGTGGCGAGGAGGCGTAAGAGCTGTGTGTGTGCTCGTACCCGCTGCTGCTGGATGACGTCACCAGAGAGGTGAGAAGATGGTACATGTGACGTCATCAAGGGGGCCTTGATTTTGCAGTGCTGGTGCCGGTGCCGCTGGGGTGGAATCCGTGTGCTGGGGGGAGCGTGGCGAGGAGGCATGAGAAGCTGTGTGTGTGCTCGTACCCGCTGCTGCTGGAGGTTCATTTGGGCATGGAGTTCTCTAGGTTCAATGACGTCACCAGAGAGGTGAGAAGAGGGTAGCTGTGACTTCACCATACAGGGTACCTACCAGTATCGTGTTCTGAGACATCTCAACTCTCGATACTCCCATTCCCCACCCCATCACAACCCCCCCCCTGCTCCCCTTCAAATCCTCAGAGCCTAGAGGAGCAGCTCGCGCTGAGTCTGAACGTGAACCAGACCCAAGTAGCTGTATACGCGACACGCCCTGGCAGTGTGATAGCCTCCTGCGCAGTGCTGCCGCCCGGCCGCACGGCTGTGCTGCCGGTGGGAGTGGCAACTCATGCGGTAGATGTGCTGCTGGGGAGGAAGAGAGTACTTTTGAGGCGCCTCAAAAGTCGGTGGGAGTGGCAGCCCATGCGGTGGATGTGCTGTTGGGGAGAAAGAGGCACGTGTTTTGGCCAGAGCTTCTCAAAATATGATGCCCCTACTCCCGTTTTTTCCCCTCCCCATCACCCCCCACAGAGCCTTGAAGAGCAGCTGGCGCTGAGTCTGAATGTAAACCAGACACAAGTTGCTGTATACGCCACCCGGCCCGGGAGTGTCATTGCCTCCTGCGCAGTACTGCCGCCCGGCCGCTCGGAAGCACTGCCAGTGGGAGTGGCGGGGCATGCACTGGACGTGCTGCTGGGGAGGCGGAAGCAGCGCCTGGAGCTGTTTGGCATGGGCGCTGTGAAGGTGCTGGCAGTGCGGCTTCCCACGGTGGTGCTGGATAGGAATGGAGGTGTGTGGGGATTGATGGTGGATGAGTGGTGATGCTAGATGGTAATGTAGCTGCGTTTTCAGTTGCCTCGATAATGAGCTGTTTGGCATGGGCGCTGTGAAGTTGCTGGCAGTGCGGCTTCCCACGGTGGTGCTGGATAGGAATAGATGGGATGTGGCGATGCTGGGATATTAATGGGTGAGGATGGAGGGTCTTGGGGATGGGCGCTGTGAAGTGGCTGGCTGTGCGGCTTCCCATGGTGGTGCTGGATAGGAACGGAGGTGAGTTGGGAGTGGTTGATGCTAATATAGGGATGGAGGTGGGTGGGTCATGTTGATGATGGTTGACGTATGGATTGGAATGGCGGGTATTTGAGGTGCCTCAACAGTGAGCTGTTATGGATCGGTGCTGTGAAGGCAGTGCGGCTGCCCATGGTGGTGCTGGATAGGAACGGAGGTGGGTGGGGATTGATGGTGGACGCTTCATGGCTGGTAGTTCATGACTGATGGAGCTGGGATTTGAAGCGCCTCTATAGTGAGCTGTTTGGGATGGGCGCTGTGAAGGTGAAGGCAGTACAGCTGTGAAGGTGAAGGCAGTACAGCTGTGAAGGTGAAGGCAGTACAGCTGTGAAGGTGAAGGCAGTACAGCTGTGAAGGTGAAGGCAGTACAGCTGTGAAGGTGAAGGCAGTACAGCTGTGAAGGTGAAGGTTAAGGGCACTTGCTACTTCACTGAAATCTCCATCCATCTTTGCTTCGACGACTCCTACTAGCGCCTCTGGCTCTGCACTTCCTTGTGCGTTTTGAGACGTCTCAAAACTCGTGGCTGGTGAATAGGTGAACCCTAAGGGCACTTGCTACTCCACTGATTTCTCCATCCATCTTTGCTTCGACTCCCCCAAATAGTGCCTCTGTCCCTGCACTCCCCTGTGCGTATCTCTCCTTCTCCCCCCCCCACCCTCTGCCATCTCATAGTCCCCATCACAGCCAGCAACAGCAGCGGCAGCAGCACCGGCAGCACCAACAGCACCACCAGCACCGGCAACAGTACCACCGGCACTGCACACCCTGCTCCTGGAATCACGAACAGCAGCAATCCGGGCAGTACGAGCAACAGAACCAACACTCCACCACCCAGCAGCAGTAGCAATGGCACCAGCACTAGTAACAATGCAGATTTAAGCTCCAGTGGTAGCAGCAGCAGCGGTAGCAGCAGTGGCAGTGAAGGGAGCAGCAGCAGTGGGAGTACGAGCGTACTAGGCATGTCCACTGCTACAGTGGTGAGCATAGCGGCAGGTGTTGCTCTCCTCCTCCTGATCGCCCTCCTCCTCACCCTCCTCTTCTGCTTCAGAAAACGATACATGAGCGTCAGCAACACTGACGATGACAATCCCGACTTTAAACACCATACAACCACCAGAACCAGCATCACCAGCATTGGCACCAGCACCACCGCTGCTGTCACCCCCGCCGCCGCTGCTGCCGCCGCCGCTGCTGCTGCTGCGGCTGCTGATGCTGCTGCTGGTGCTAGTAGGAAGAAACCCAAGCGGGGCTGGTTCAACTTTGGGCGATCCTCTCCCCCGGCTGCTGCCTATTCGGTTTCCTCGTTTCACGCTGATAGAGCAGCAGCAGCGCCAGATTACCGAGGTTCCTGGGCTGCTGGGGGTGGTTGGGGAGAGGGGGAAGGTGGATGGGGTTTACCGTCCTCGTTCCTGTCGTCTGGAGTGGAGATTGGGGATATCAGCGTGGTGGAGGTGACTTCAGTTGAGGATGAAGAGGAGGATGTGGAGAGTGGTGTGGTTGGGTCGTGCAGGGATGGGGAGACGACTCAGGGAGGTAGGGGCGGAGAGGAGTTGATTGTTCGTGAGGGAGCTATGGTGGCAGTGGTGGGAGCTGGGGGATTGACTGTTGCAAATGCAGGAGTAGGAAGAGCACGAGGGGGAGGAGGGAAAGGAGGAGCAGGAGGGGCAGGAGGGGCAGGAGGGAAGGGGTATGATGGAGAGGTGGAGGTAGGCGGGGAGGAGGATGAGAGTGTGAGGAAGAGTAGGGAGTGGACTGTCATGTCGTTCCTTAGCTTGGGAGGGAGAGGGGATGATGACGCTGCTGCTGCTCCTGCCGCTGCTGCTACTGCTGCTGCTGATAGCGGTTCTTACGCGGTGGCGGCTGTAGGAGAGGGAAGAACAGGAGGAGTGAAGAGACGGAGCGGGAATGGGGAGGAAGAGGAGGAGGAAGAGGAAGAGGAGGATGAGGAAGGGGCGGAGGAGGAGGAGGAGAGGAGAGTGGAGGGCGGGAGGGGTGGGAGTGGGAGTGGGGGTAAGGGTGGGAGTGGGTGGGGAGTAGGGGCGATAGGATGGGGAGGAGGGGGGGCGGGGAAACGAGCAAGCAGCAACAAGGAACCTTCTGGAGAGATTGGATGGAAGCTTCCTCGTCTGAGCATGAAATTTTCCTGTAAGAATCCGTTTCTTCCGCCTTCCTGTAAGAAAAGTGGAGTGGACTATGCAAGGGGAGACAAGACCTTCATCGCAATACACCGCAATACACCGTCTCCCATCTCCATAAACCGTCTCCCATCTACCACAAACCCTGAATCTCCCCCTCTACTCCCCGTTCCCTTTCCCCCCCTCCCGCGTTTCCCAACCTCCCTGCTTCGATCCTACCCTCCCAGCACCCAAGCTGCAACCCCGGCAACCACAGCAGCAGCAGCAGTCACCAGGGGCAGGGAGGCGGGGGGTGGCAGTGCCAGGGGTGCGGAGATTCGCCCTGGCGGAACTGCAGATGGCAACGGACGACTTCTCCCCGCACACCAAGCTGAGGGACCACCCTCTGGGACCCGTGTACTGTGGCGACCTGCCTGATGGCACGGTGAGCGCAGCAGCAGCACCTAGCAAAAGTAACAGTACACGGGTCCCAAAAGTAACAGTAACACTTTTGCTAGGTGCACAAAATCGCTTCGGGCTTTCCCTCCAATTTCAGAATCGCGAGTCAACGTCCCCCCCCCCCCCCTCCCCCCAGTGTCCCCACCAGCCCCATGACTTACGCAGGGCTCTGTAGGTTACGCTCGATGCTAGAACTATAGATCCACGACCTAATCCTCCCACATCTTCTACGTAGATATCCGTTCTAGATCCTCTAACCTAGATCCTAGAGTGAAGATCTAAGTGAAGATCTAAAAGATGGTGCTGCGAATTAAAATAGCGAGGTAGAAAGTCACAAAATATAGCATAACGGTTATGAAAGAACCGTCAATCCTAAATATGGCATTTCGTACACAGCTGTATGTGCTGCCCTGAGCGGTTGTGTCGCAATGATGCTCTCTTCTCCAGGGCCAATTTACAGAACGCTTTTTTTTTTTGCCGGATTTTTTTCCCTGCCCGGACCTAAGTTACGCGTATTTACGCGTACGTAAACGTAAACGTAATGTTACGCGTAACATTACGTTTACGTAGGTCCAGGGACGTACGGACCCATCTTAGCTGCCAAGAGCTTTCAGTGCGGTGCGTGGGGTGTACGATGCAGCACACACAAGCAGCACATGTGGCAACGGACATACCTTCCTCTCGTTTCATTTCAGGATTCTCAAGAGTGACTCTACCTGTAATATATGTTTTTGAGAATTCTCACGCCCACGTGGTGCCGCTGCAGGGGTACTGCGTGGACGACGGCGAGAGGTTGCTGGTTTTTGAGCCCATGCCAAAAACCAGCAGGCGGGACGGCGGCATGTTAACAAATGCTCTTTCTTTCCTTCTCTTCCTCTCCTGCCTCCTGCCTGCCTCCTCCCCGTTCCTCCCTCCTCCCTCACCATCAACCTACCAGGGGGTAGCGGTGAGGCAGATAGAAGCAGCGGTGAGGCGGATAGAAGCAGCGGTGAGGCAGATAGAAACAGCGGTGAGGCGGATAGAAGCAGCGGTGGTGGAAGGCCAATCCGATTCGGACTTTGAAGCAGTAGCAGCCAACATGGCACGGCTGCAGCACGCCCACGTGGTGCCGCTGCAGGGGCTTCAACCCCTGCCTGTTCCTCTTCCTCTTTCTCCTCCCCCCACACCCACTCCCCCTCCTTTCTCCCCCTCTTTCCTCCTCTCTCTCACTCCCTTCCCCACCCCCTTCTCGTCACAAACCCCCCAAACAGGAAGTGGCGGTGAGGAGGATAGAAGCAGCAATAGTGGAGGGGCAATCCGATTCGGACTTTGAAGCGGTAGCGGCCAACATGGCGCGGCTGTAGCACGCCCACGTGGTGCCGCTCACGTGGTATTTAAGGCACTGGAAGCAAACATACCCTCTTTGTTTCCTTCTCCCTGCCCTCCTGCCTCCTTCCTCCCCTCCTCCTGCCTCCCTTCCTCCTGCCTCCCTTCCTCCTGCCTCCCCTCCTCCTGCTCCCCTCCCTGTGCCTCCCCATACGTCGCTCCCCCAACCAGGAAGTGGCAGTGAGGCGGATAGAAGCAGCAATAGTAGAAGGACAATCCGATTCGGACTTTGAAGCAGTAGCGGCCAACATGGCACGGCTGCAGCACGCCCACGTGGTGCCGCTGCAGGGGTACTGCGTGGATGGCGGCGAGAGGATGCTGGTGTTTGAGCATTTTCACCTGGGCAGTCTGTACGAGCATCTGCACGATGGCAGCCGGAGCATGCTCATGACGTGGGACACGCGCGTGCAGATTGCTGTCGGCTGCGCTCAAGCCTTAGAGTGAGTGGGGAGGCGGGGTAGGGCCAGGGAGTAGAATAGGGGGGAGGGGAGGGAATGTCTGTACGAGCATCTGCATGATGGCAGCCGGAGCATGCTCATGACGTGGGACACGCGCGTTGGCATTGCTGTCGGCTGCGCTTAAGCACTAGAGTGAGTGCTGGTGATGGTGTGGGGTTGGGAACTGGGG